GATGACACAAACAAACAGAAAGATATTCTATGCCCATGGATTGGGAAAGCCAATATTGTTAAAATGTCCATACTACCCAAAGCAACTTACATATTTAATGCAATCCCTATCAAAATACCAACAGCATTTTTCACAGAACTAGAACAAATCATCCTAAAATTTGTATGGAACCACAAAAGACCCAGAATAGCCAAAGCAATCTTTTTTTTTTTTTTAAGATATCTATTTATTTATTTGAGACACAGCGAGAGAGGGAACACAAGCGGGAGGGTGGGGGGGAGAGGGAGAAGCAGGCTTCCCGCAGAGCAGGGAGCCCGATGCGGGGCTCGATCCCAGGACCCTGGGATCATGACCTGAGCTGAAGGCAGACGCTGAACGACTGAGCCACCCAGGCGCCCCTAACCAAAGCAATCTTGAAAAAGAACAAAACTAAAGATATCACAATCCCAGATTTCAAGATAAATACAAAGCTGTAGTGATCGAAACAGTACGGTGCTGGCACAAAAACACACAGATCAAAGGAACAGAATAAAGAGCCCAGAAATAAACCCATGATTACAGGGTCAATTATTCTACAACAAAGGAGGCAAGAATATGCAACGGGAAAAAGACAGTCTCTTCAACAAATGGTGTTGGGAAAACTTGATAGCAACATGCAAAAGAATGAAATTGGACCATTTTCTAACACTATAGACAAAAATAAACTCAAAATTGACTAAAGACTTAAATGTGAGACCTGAAACTATAAAAATCCTAGAAGACAGCACAGGCAGTAATCTCTCTGATATTGGCTGAGGCAACATTTGTCTAGATATGTCTCCTCAAGCAAAGGAAACAAAAGCAAAAATAAACTATTGGGACTACATCAAAATAAAAAGCTTCTTCACAGCAAAGGAAACAGTCAACAAAACAAAAACACAACCTACTGAATGGGAGAAGATATTTGCAAATGACCTATCTGATAAAGGGTTAGTATCCAAAATATATAAAGAACTTATACAACTTGCAGAACATTTTTTATACTAAACCACCATTTTGGTAAGAAAAATACACAGTCACATACACACATACACATGTATGCACATACACACATACACACATACATGTGTGTTTCTTATTCCTATAACATCTTCAGAATAATTTTTAAAACACTGAGGGTGCCTGGGTGGCTCAGTTGGTTAAGTGTCTGACTCTTGGTTTCAGCTCAGGTCATGATCTCAGGGTCATGGGATTGAGCCCTGAGTCGGGCCCCATGCTGACTGGGGAGTCTGCTTGAGATTCCCTCTCTCCCTCTCCCCCTACCCTGCTCCTGCTCTCTCTCTCAAATAAATAAATCTTTAAAAAAAATTTTTTTAAACTGGTAAAATTGGTAACCTCTGAGGGAAAAAAATGTATGCACATGAACTGACGATAGAAGCAACACATTTTTCAATATAAACCCTTCATACCTTTTGCTTTTGCAACATGTCTATATCATTAACTCAATAAGATTTAAAAATAAATTACTGTCACTGAAATGATAAAATTATTAAAAATAACAGAATTATACAACACCAAAAAAAAAAAAAAAATCCAAATAATCCAATTTAAAAATGGCCAGAAGCCATGAGCGGACATTTCTCCAAAGACATCCAGATGGCCAACAGACACATGAAAAGATGCGCAACACCACTTGGCATTAGGGAACTACAAATCAAAACTACAATGAGATACCGCCTCATACCTGTCAGAATGGCTAAAATCAATAACACAAGAAACAACAGGTTCTGGTGAGGCTGTGGAGAGAAAGGACAACCCTTGTGCACTGTTGGTGGGAATGCAAACTGGTGCAGCCACTGTGGAAAACAGTATCATCAAGTCTCCTCTAAAACTTAAAAAGAGGGGCGCCTGGGTGGCTCAGTCGGTTTAGCATCTGCCTTCAGCTCAGGTCATGATCCCAGGGTCCTGGGATTGAGCCCTACATCGGGCTCCCTACTCCATGGGGAGCCTGCTTCTCCCTCTCCGGGCCGCTCCCCCTGCTTGTGCTCTCTCTCTGTGTGTGTCAAATAAATAAATAAAATCTTAAAAAAAAAATGAAAATAAAAAGATAATTACCATACAATCCAGTAACTCCACTACTGGGTATTTACCCAAAGAAAACCAAAACACTAATTTGAAAGGATACATGCACCCTTATGTGTATTGCAGCATTATTTACACTAGTCAAGATATAAAAGCAACCTATGTGTCCATCAATAGATGAATGGAGAGGCGCCTGGGTGGCTCAGTCGGTTAAACGTCTGCCTTCGGCTTAGGTCATGATCTCAGGGTCCTGGGATGGAGCCCCGCATCGGGCTCCCTGCTCGGTGGGGAGCCTGCTTTTCCCTCTTCCCCCCTGCTTGTGCTCACGTGCTCTCTCTCTCTCAAATAAATATTTAAAAAAATAGATGGATAGTAAAGTTGTGGTATATATACACAATAGAATACCACTCAGCCATAAAAAAGCATGAAATCTTGCCATTAGCAACAACATGGATGGAGCTAGAGGGTATTATGCTAAGTGAAATCAGTCAGAGAAAGACAAATACCATATGATCTCACTCATGTGGAATTTAATAAATAAATGAACAAAGAAAAAAGAGAGACAAACGAAAAAACAGACTCCTAACTCCAGAGAACAAACAGATGGTCACCAGAGGGGAGGTGGCTTGGGGGGATGGGTGAAATAGGTGATGGGGATAAAGGACGGCACTTGTTGTCATGAGCGCTGAGTAATGAATACAACTGTTCAATCACTATCCCGTACACCTAAAACTAATAAAACACTGTACGTTAATTCTACTAGAATTTAAAAATAAAATAAAACAAAAAAATTTTTTTTCAAATGGAACCTGGAAATCTGAGAGCAGCTCACCCATGGTATGTCAGGAAATGCTGAATTCCAAATGACCTGATTTGGAATGGAGCTGCTCCTGTTCACTGAGCAGCTGATTTCTAGTCAAGAGCAGGGTGGAACAGAGAGGAGGAAGGCGGGTTTATTTTCTGTAACTAGAAGACTTGACAGGTCAAAGGACCCCCAGCCATTAAAATCTTACCTTGATCTGGTTTGTTCACGGATCCACAGGCCCAGGGAAGATTCCCTGCATGTGGATTTGGAGACAGAGTCCCCCACGCAGAGATTTCTGGAAGTAAAGGGGGAGATCGGCTACCTTTCCTAGAACTGGCCATCACAACGTGCCCCTCTCCCTTGGCAAAGAAAGACCACGTTGGTCTGCTCGTGCAGGGGGTGCTCCCCAGGCTCCCCGCACCCTTCCCCGCCCCACAGACAGCCAGTCTCCCCTCTTCTTGCTTCATATCGGGGCCTGAGGCCGAGCCTGATGAGCCCCGAAGTTCCCCCGGCTAGGGTGGGGGGCCGTTCACATCCGAGCATCAGCAGGGAGTGCTGCACTCAGAGGAACCCCCAGACGAGAGCAAGACACAGAGGAAAGCTACATGTGTCTATTCAGAATCGCCAAAATGTGGAAACGGCTCGAGTGCCTATTCATAGCGGAATGGATAAACAGAATGCACTACAACTATGTCCGCACGATGGAATATTTTTCGGCCACCAAAAGGAACGAAGTACCCGTACACGCCAGGACACGGATCAACCTTGGAAGCATCACGCTCCGGGAAAGCCAACGACCAAATATTCTATGATTCCATCTGTCTGAAATACCCAGAATAGGCGAATCCATAGGGACAGAAAGAGTAGTGGTTGCCTGGGGCTGCGAGAGGGGTGGGGATAGGGAGTGACAGCTAATGGAATCGGTTCCCTTTTGTGGTGATAAAAATGTTCTGGGGGCGCCAGGGTGGCTCAGTCGTTAAGCGTCTGCCTTCCGCTCGGGTCCTGGGATCGAGCCCCGCATCGGGCTCCCTGCTCGGCGGGAAGCCTGCTTCTCCCTCTCCCACTCCCCCTGCTTGTGTTCCCTCTCTCGCTGTCTCTCTCTGTCAAATAAATAAATAAAATCTTTAAAAAAAATGTTCTGGAACTAGATAAAGTTGATGGTTGCACGACACTGGGACTGGACGTAATGCTAATGAACTATACGCTTTAAGGTGATTAAAACAATGCCTTCTGTGTTATGCTGATTTACACACGCACACACACACACACCCGTGTGCCTTTTCTGCCTGGGGCTGCAAGGAAGTCTCGCACCCCCTCAGCCCGCCCCCCACGGGTTCCACAGATACCCTCCTGTACCTTCTCTGTTGGCCAACCCTTCCCGCCCCCTGCCCCCCACCCTACCCCCACCCCCAATCAGTAGCTATTGTGATTGTGCCGAGTCCACAACGGGCCGGGCCCAGCCCAGCAGCCTCCCACACCTGACCCGGGGCTATCCCAGGGTTCAGCTGTGGGGACTGATGATCGGCATATTCATCACAGTGATTTTCTCACCTGAATCCCTTGCTTCTGCCTCCTCGCCCCAACCCTCTACTCAGACCTAGAAGGGGAGCTCTGGACAGTCTCCCGGAGACCCCCGGGGCCCTGAGGCCCAGCGGTCAAAGACAATACTTTGTTGAAAACCTGAGCTACGGCCACGGCTCCCAGACCCAAGCCAGCCAGCCTCGGAGGGGGCTGCCCCGCGGGATGGGCCCTCCTCCCAGGGCACAGCCTGGCCTCCAAAGAGGGGCGGTGCGGACCCCATCGGATCCCGCAGCCCAGCTCCGGGGGGTGCCACCAACACAGGCCCTCCGAGGCCCGGCGCCTTCTTCTCTAGCTGGTGTGCCCACCCCGGCTCGCGGTCGCGACCTGTCACAAGCACCCCGGGATCACCTACTAAGCCCTCCTCCCAGGTCCCAGACACCCCAAATCAAGAGCAGGGGTGTCCTGTACGCTTTAGGAGCCTGACAGGTGGCCAAGTCCCCAGAGGAGGCCTAGTGCTGGGGAAGCCACCCTCCCCTCGCCTCGCAGACCTCAGCAGGGGGCCCGGCCCTTTGCCCCCCGGGGGCTCATGGGTAAGGAAAACTCTTGTGTGCACCTGAAAGGGTTCCCGGAACTTCAGTGAGGAAGCCGGCGCGCTCCCTGAGGCTCCTGCCCCATCACGAGCAGTCGTTCAAACCCGAGCGGGGTCCGCGCCAGGCCCTGCGGCCTTGACCTGGGTTCTGCCGGCGTGGACCGGCCGCGCCGAGCACCTGCGCGCAGAGCACCGGAAGTCCCCGGGAGCCGGTCCAGCCGCGAGACGCCGCGGTCCCCTTGGCAACCGAGCGCACGCGGCCGGTGCTCCGGGACGGGGGTGTGGTGCCCTCTAGAGGCCACGGGGCCGCACGGCCGGGGACGGGGTCGGCACTAGCGGGCTCCTGCGCGCGCCGGAGGCCGGCAGGTGCGGGACCGAGGTGGACGCAGAGGCGAGCCGCTTGTTCAAGGTCGTAGGGAGACGCAGATCGGAGCCTTCCGGAGTCGGCCCTTTGGTATTCCGCCGCCGCTCGTTAAAGAAAGAAACAAAAAACCCTCGCACACTCACACCCGCCCGGAGCTAATGAAGCTGAAGTGAGGGGGCCCCTCGGCGGGGCCCCAGAAATGTATTCACCTGGTCGTGTGTATTGCTACAGTTTGCAGAAGTGAACGATTTGAGCTGTAATTAATTAAGGTCGCTCTCTTCCCGCTCTGACCCTCTGTCACACTTCCCCTCTGGTCCTTGGAGAGGCCCAGGGCCTTTGGGGTCTGGCTAAGGGGAAGTGGAGTTGGGAATACATTGAGTGTGCCTTTAATGGGAACTGTTTACATATGCAGTTATTACCGGCCATCCCGGGGTAGGAATGACTTCCGGGAATAATCCCACTGCCCACCTGGCATCATGACATCGAGCACTACAGCAGCTGGGGCGTGGGAGGAGGAGAAATGAGGTTTGAAATGTGCAGAGCGCAAGCTAGTCTGTGGGAAATTCTTCCAATCTCCAAATGCCTCAACTTGTGAGCAGATCAAAACAGAAATTTGTCCTCCCAAGAATATCATCAATAATGCAGTGAATATAATTGCAAAATCCCTATAAAATGAAATTATTTTTCAGGTGTATCCATATGTAACCAATAGAAACAATTCTGGCATGGAAAAATAAACTAACAAATTCTTTTTTCAGATCATACCAAAGGAGAAAGCGATAAATTTTGAATAGAGGTAATAAATAGGTTCTTGGTTTGTTTAATCATCTACTTAATGAAGTGAAGTATATGAACACAATGGGAAAATATTTAAATTTCTTGCTGATTTGACCAAAATACTGACAATGACAAAGATAACAGAAATCTCATAATAGACCTCCACAAGGCATTGAGGTCAAGTGGGCTAATAAGTATTGTTAATTCAGAGTATTTGAGATTGGTCCCTGAACTTGAATCCTTGATATGCCCTGAAAATGTACAGCTTTTCTATAAAAGAAACTTGATAGAGGTTTCCCCATATTTGACAGCAGTCCCCCAAATGTATACAGCATTACTAATAACAAATTGAGAAGCCGAAAATTTTCTAAACTATCAATAATGAAAACCAGGGCGCCTGGGTGGCTCAGATGGTTGAGCGTCTGCCTTCGGCTCGGGTCATGATCCCAGGGTCCTGGGATCGAGTCCCCAAGGGACCCTGCTTCTCCCTCTGCCTCTCTCTCTCTCGTGAGTAAATAAATTAAAAATCTTTAAAAAAAAATAATGAAAACCAAATTTCCATCAACTACGCCAGAAGAAAAACAGAATAAGTTATCTTTCTATCCTCTTGCTAGAAAATGATACCACAAAATTTTTGTCATACAAAAAGGTGCTCAAAGAGTCTGCAGCCAAAAATTATAGGGGAAAAGCCTTGTAGGGCGTTGTCAGGCAGTTAACAAAAGTTTATGTCAGTTTTCTGAATTATGTGAGATTTGAGGTATTTCTCAGCCTTTAAAATGCTATGTGTTAGGTGCCTGGCTGGCTCAGTCAGTAGAGCATGTAACTCTTGATCTTGGGATCATAAGTTCTAGCCCCACGTTGGGTGTAGAGATACTTTTTTTTTTTTTTTGATGGTCTTCTTTTTTTTTTTTTTAAAGATTTTATTTATTTGAGAGCGAGAATGAGAGACAGCATGAGAGGGAGGAGGGTCAGAGGGAGAAGCAGACTCCCTGCTGAGCAGGGAGCCCGATGCGGGACTCAATCCCGGGACTCCAGGATCATGACCTGAGCCGAAGGCAGTCGCTTAACCAACTGAGCCACCCAGGCGCCTGAGATTACTTTTTTTTTTTTTTTTAAATGCTATGTATTGTGTTTTCTTTCTTACTCTAAATAACATCCCTCTCCTACCTAATTCTGTATCCATTCTGTTCTTTTTTTCTCTTTAAGGGCTCCCCCAAATCATAAACTCTTCAAACAACCACAAAGCATGGATCCACCCTCCCACCCATGTGCACACGCACTCACGTGCACACACACAGACACACTCATCTCACATACACAAGAACCAAGAAGAACCACAGGCTCACGGAGTAAAAAGAGGCCAAGACCCCTTCCCTAGAGACATTTGTGTGCTTTGGAGTAGCTCTTCTTATCGGTAAACAGATGCGGTGAACGTAAGTCTGACATCAGACTTCTACTCCAGAAAATACATAGAATCATAAAATGCGCATTGATTTGTTAAAAGCTAGATCCAATGAGAACTATTTTTACTAACAAAGCTAATTTTCCTAACAAAGCTAATTTTCCTGGGGGCGCCTGGCTGGCTCAGTTGGTAGAGCATGTGACTCTTGAGCTCTGGGTTGTGAGTTCGAGCCCCATGTTGGGTGCAGAGATTGCTTGAGAATGAAATCTTTTTTTTTTCTTTAAAGATTTTATTTATTTGACAGAGAGAGACACAGCGAGAGAGGGAACACAAGCAGGGGGAGTAGGAGAGGGAGAAGCAGGCCTCCTGCAGAGCAGAGAGCCTGATGCGGGGCTCGATCCCAGGACCCTGCGATCACGACCCAAGCTAAAGGCAGACGCTCAACAACTGAGCCACCCAGGCGCCCCGAAATCTTTTTTTTTTAAGCTAATTTTCCCGTTGGTTTCCCCAATGCCTTCCATTCCTTTAATGTCACCCCCAAAGGAATTGCAGAGGACAGTTTTGGGCCATTATTTCGCCATTCCCCTCAGACAGAAGGAGTGGTTTTTCTTCCTTGTTAGCCTTTTGTGTATTTTTAGATTGTCATCATCTGTTATGCAAAAAAAAAAAAAAATCAAACTTATTTTTTATCTTAATATTTCACGAGCCAAACTTCTTTTGTTCTATTGACATTTGTAGAAAGAGGTTTTTTAAAAGTCTGCTGCTCAGAATAAAGCAGCCACACTTGCAGAGAGGTACCTTGTCCATTTGAATGTGCAGTAATATCCTCCTTGGTAGGGAGCTTCTAGTCCCATGATGGTTTCTTCCTGTCAGGTGGTACTAGAAGAAAAAACATAAGAGGCATAAGGGTATGCCAGATGGTGAAAAATAGGTTTACGGCACCAAAATAGTGTTGTTTTTTTATTAAAAACTAGGCTAGTATTGAATGCCAGAAGGTGTGAAACCCAGCTCTGAGTAAGAATCTCCACATTTAGCATTAATCTTGGCCCATCTGAGCCTCCCACCAGGGGAAGCAGAGTGGGCCCACCAGCCTGCCTGGGGGCATTGCTGCCGGGCTGCCCGCACAGCATCCTGGAAGCCCGACGGAGAGCAGGTGGGCCTGCTTCTTGGGAGGGCCAGCTTGGGCTCCCAACCCCTTCCTATCCCTGTGCCCACCGCCATCACACCGGAAGTTCTCGGCTAGTTGCTCTCTGGCTCACCCACTTTCTTTCATATTGGATTCTGAAATCCAAGAACCCATAAGGCTGGATCCTGGACCTCCAAGAAGTTCTAGGCTTCTTCAGCATCAATGAAGGTAATAGCTATCTCCAAAAGTGTTCCCAGAACCCTTAGTGGCCAGTGTCCCTCAAACATTCCAACTTAAGGGAAACCAGCATCTGAGAGGGTTAGGCTCCTCACCAGGAAAGTCCTTATTTACCTCCACCACACTCTGAGACAGTTAGCTTTTGCTACAAAACAATCCACCACCAAACTTAGTGCCTTAAGATACCAACTTTTTTTTTTTTTGAGAGAGAGAGAGAGCACACAAGCGAGGGGGGAGGGGCAGAGAGAGTAAGAGAGAGTCTCAAGCAGACTCCACACTGAGCATGGAGCCTAATGCAGGGGGCTTGATCTCAGGACCCTGAGATCATGACCTGAGCCAAAATCAAGAGTCAGATACCTAACCAACTGAACCACCTAGGAGCCCCATCCAACTCTTGATTTAGCTGTTGATTCTGTGGACTGGCAATCTGGGCTTGGTCCACTGATGCACGTGGTTCATGCCCACGTCTATAGTATCCACTGCCAGGGTGGCTGGGACAGGCTGGTTTGGGATGGCCTCAGCCGGTCAGATTGTCTTTCTCCCACATGGTCTTGGCATCCCCCAGCAGGCGAGCCTGGGTCTGTTCATAGGGAGGTGGCTGGGTTGCAGGAGAGCAAACAGAAACAGCAAAAATGCTCAAGGCTTCTTGACACGCCTGGACCAGGCATGACGTTTGGTATTCGGATTGGTCAGAGCAAGTCCCAAGACCAGGTTCAAGGGCTACACCTCTTGATGGGAGGAGCTGCTCTGCATTGAGGAGGGTACAGGTACAGGGAGGGTAATAATTGTGGCCATGTTTTCTTTAAATATTTTATATTGTGGGGCACCTGGCTGGCTCAGTCGGTAGAGCAGGCAACTCTTGATCTCGGTGTTGTGAGTTCAAGCCCCACATTGGGCGTGGAGCTTACTTTAAAAAAATATTTTTTTTTGTATTGTGGTAAAATATACATAACATCAAAATTACCCTTTTATCCATTTTTAGGTGTACATTCAAGTGGCATGAAATACATTCACATTGTACAACCATCACCACCATTCATTTCCAGAGCGTTTTTTAAATATACTTTTAAAAAATGCTATCTTTTATTCATGTAGCATTTTTGAGTTAGTATAGGACCATTTCTTTTCACTGCCTCAAAAAATCCTCTGTTTTCTACCTATTTATCCCTCTCTCTCCCCCAACCCCTGGTAACCGCCATCTTTTTACTGTCTCCGTAGTTTTGCCTTTTCCAAAACGTCATATAGTTGGAAGTATACAGTATG